TGTAGCTTGTATGATGATTCATGAACAGAAGTTATTACAAAATATCCCAGATTATACTATGTTCAATTTGAATACTACAGTGCTTACAATCAAATTTTAGGATAAGTTGCGAGCAGCTCAGTTTGAAGACCCATACTTGTTAGAAGTTCGAAAGAACTTAGATGAGAAGATGACTGGCACAGATTTCACTTTTAATGATAATGGTCTTATAGTCTACAATGGGAGGGTTTGTGTACCTGATGTGAAAGTGTTGAAGGACACAATTCTTGCTGAAGCTCATAGAAGTAAATTCACCATCCACCCCGGAGCAACCAAGATGTATCAAGACACGAAGCGGTACTGGTGGTGGCATGGTCTGAAGCGTGATGTAACGGAGTATGTGAGCAAGTTTCTAACTTGTCAGAGGGTGAAAATAGAGCATCAGAGGCCTGGCAGTTTATTGCAGCCGTTAGAAATTCCAACCTAAAAGTGGGAAAGTATTTCCATGGACTTTATTATGGGTTTGCCTAAAACACAGGCAGGGTACGATGCAATATGGGTCATTGTTGATAGATTGACAAAGTGAGCCCATTTTCTACCTATCAGAGAAGGTTATACCATGGATAAATTTACGGAACTGTATATCTAAGAGATTGTGCGATTACATGGAGTGCCTAAGGATATGGTTTCAGATCGTGATCCAAGGTTCACCTCAAACTTTTGGAAGGTGATGAATGATGCTATGGGTACTTAATTGAAGTTCAGTACGACATATCATCTACAGATTAATGGTCAAACTAAAAGAACAAATCAAACACTTGAAGATATGTTACGCATATGTGTACTTGAGTGGACAGGTAGTTGGGACAAGCATCTACCGTTAGCGAAATTTGCCTACAACAACAGTTATAATTCAAGTATTCATATGGCTCCATATGAGGCGTTGTATGGTAGAAAGTGTAGATCTCTACTTTGTTAGACCGAGTTGAGTGAAAGAAGCATTATAGGTCTAGACATTGTTGACCAAACCACTCAAAGGATTGAGACAATCCGACAAAAATTGTTGACTGCCCAGAGTCGACAAAAGAGCTATGCAGATAAGTGGCGTAGACCTTTGACTTTTGACGCAGGCGACCATGTGTTTTTGAAAGTATCACCAATGACAGGCATTGGGAGGTCAATAAAAGCTAAAAAATTGACTCTTAAATTCATAGGTCCTTTTTAAATCCTACAAAAAATTGGGACTTTGGCCTATCGAATTGCCTTGCCTCATTTGTCAGGAGTTCATAATGTATTTTATGTCTCTCTATTAAAGAAATATCAACCTGATCCGTCTCATATAATAGAACTTGAAGAGGTTGAGCTAAGGGAGAACATGACCTATAGAGTGGAACTAGAAAGAATTGTGGATGTAAGGGAAAAGCAATTGAGAAATAAGACTATTCGCCTCGTGAAGGTATTCTGGAAAGGAATAGCCCTTGGTAATGCAACCTGGGAAACTGAGGAGAAGATGAAACATTCCTATCCTCATTTGTTTGAGCAAGGTATGTTCCTTATGATTATTCAAATTTTAGGGACAAAATTCCTATTAGGAGGGGAGAATTGTAACATCTCAATTTAAATTTTAATAGTTAATTTGGGTTAATAGAAATTTTAAAAAAATATTTAGAGGCAAGCAAATTAGTAGGAGATGATTATTAAATCTAACTTAGGATATAATTCTAAATTAAAAAATTAATTAATTAAAAAATATTAAATTATTATTATTATTATTATTATTATTAAAAAAGAAAAGGTATAAAAAAAAGAAGAAGAAGAAGAAGAAGAAGTGGCTGCTTGCTTTCGGTGCTCTCCGTGCAATCATAACATATATAATAATAAAAAAAGAAAGAAGGGAGAGGAAAGAGGAAAATAAAAAAAAATTGTGGGACCCATATTCGTTTTTAAAAACCACCGTTCTCTTCTTATTTTTCCTTCATTTCCTTTCTCGTTCGTGTGCGAACAGAGAGAGCGTCTGTGAACGCAAGTTCGCCGGTGCGGGAGATCTGAGTTTTTAAGGTAAGAGTTTTTAATAGGATATTTAGGGTGTGATTTTAAGATTTTCAAGACTAAATAAGTATTCTAAAATTTTTCTTAGTCATCCTTTCTCTTTGGTTTCTAATTTTGTGGTAGTAGAAAATTTAGGATTTGAAATAGGGATGAATTTATGTTAAATAAATATGATTTTTGAGGTTGTTAGTAGTGTAATAAATATTCTAGAGTATTATTTTGTTAATAGAATTGGAATTTGATGCATTTGAGTTTATCCCTAGATCCCTATAGGTAGATTTTTAGTTAAATTTGAAAATATAAATTGATTTTTTGATATTTAGATGATTATTTGAGATGAGAAATAAATTATTATGGCTATAGAATAATGATTCTAGGCTTGAAATCAAGTTTGCAATTTTTGGATATTTTTATATGTGAATTTTTGGAATAAAAAAAGAAATTTTGATATTAGAAAAATTATTTGAATGAAATTATTGTGAAGGAGACTATTGAACCAAGTAGATAGGTTCAAATACATGAAATTAAATTTTAAAACTCAAGAGGCTAAGACTAAGGTCTTAAAAAAATGAAATGAAATAAAATAAATACTTAAGTGTTAGAGTATGAGTGAAAATTGTGTTAATAATATTATTGACACATTGGGATATGATCAATTGTAGATTAATTTCCTTTTGACACCATTTAAGCTTTGGAAGTGTTGTAATTTGAGGGGTAACCTTTGATCTCTCAAAGGTTGAGGTAACTAGGGAAAATCTATTTTATGTATTTGTATGTTATTTAATTAATTATGTTAGTGAAATAAAAGAATATATATATATATATATGTCTAAATTTTGAAATGGTTGTTTGTAATGCATGTGGCTTTGTTGAGACTCTATGACATGTGACCAAGTTAATTATGACTTGGTATGAGTAATGAGATTGATGGTTGATGATTATGTGTACACTCTTGGTTATAAGTTGTGGATTATGCACAGTGATGAATTGTATGAACATGTTGAGTTTTATATGATACTAATGTGGTTTTATGTGATAATATAAAAATTGATGCAAGAGACATGATTGAAATATGATGATTCTTGATGTTCGTTGAGCAAGAAAATTGATGAGCATGTGGGATAATTATGAATTATATATATGAGTTTTTGAAATGCATTTTCTCATGAGCATGATCATATGGCGAGAGTTCGCCTTGGTGAAGGAGTTAGTGGTTATGTAAAATCCATATGGTACTTGGCTATTAATCGATAATCCTAGGGGTTATAGCCGCTACTTACCTTATAAGGTACTATAGCATTGTTCCTATTAAGGGACTTGACCCTACTGACCTACTTGGAGTTTTGGGTATGACACCCCATAATGTGTGATTTGGGAGAAACCGTGTTCATAAGTGAGTAAGGTAACCCTGACCCTGTAGCCCCTCATGATATGATTAAGGCTTTAGGTAGTCTCACCACATGGACGATCCCTTTCGGTTGTTGGCCCACGGATTTCATATCAGAGGAAATAAGGGGGGATATAAGGAAGAGATTGATCATACATATTATTATTATCATGCCATTTGAGTGATTGATAGCTATGTTGAGAATATGATTACAATTGTGGAAATAAGAATATGTAGTAATTTTGTGAATAATATATATATATAGCCATTTGTGTAAAGTTTGTACTTGACTTTATTCTTGAGATTATTCACATGAGTTAGATGTTAATGTGATTAACATGTTATTAATGTGATTGTTTACATAGTCACTTTGATAAACTTATTAGCCACTTGTATTCATGATTAATTACCATGCATTTGTACAACTTAGATGTACCTTGGTTATTGAGTAGTTGTACTCATCCCTATCTTTTACCATATTACAGGAGCTAGCTCATCTGAGAAGAACAGAGGAAAGGAGCATTAGGCCAAGTGATAATAATCACTTCTGTAGGCCTCTCTCCTTTTATGTTGATATGTATATTTAGTTTATGATATTGCCAACTAGGATAATATATTCTTGATCCACTTGTACTATAGGTTTTGCGCAGGATGGAAAGGTATTTTGGGCTCTTGAGAATGTGTTTTGATACTTGTGTTATATTAATGGGCTAAAATATTTGTACAAGTAAAAATAGTTATTATCATGCTTCCGTATAAGTTTAATTGAATGATATGAGTTCTTAAAATATTTTAAAGACTTGGGATCCCTTTATATTAAATAGTTTGTAAAAAAATACATATTAAGAATTCATTTAGGTTAATCTCGTATTGGATAATCCATTTGGATTAGTCCTTGATTAAACATGGTTAGTATAATGATTAAGTCCTATTTTAGGACACTCATTACAAATTGGTATCAGGTTCTCGAGTTTTGAGAACTGGAATGTGGTTTGTGTATGACTTGTTATATGATTGTGTATTATGTTGTACTTGCATTTGCATATAGAATTGGCAATTATCATTATACACATATTCTTTTCCTCTGTGAGCTAGCACTATCTGTTTTTCATTTGTGGTATTACTTCCATCCTTGGGAGGGGAGAATATGGTACTAACCAAGAACACTGCCGCTAATAATTTGGCAATTCCACAAAGACTAAAGGATCAGGTGGTGGTGGAAGATGAAACAACACTGGTTCAAGTCCAACAAGGACAGGTAGTGCCAGAGTTACTAAACCCAACTGAGCAAGTTCAAGTCTTGACTCAAGCAGGACCTTCTACACAAGCTCCAGTTCAAGCTATTCTTGCGACTGGTAATAACAACGATGTAGCCCTAATTACTTCAATATTGATGGACATCCAGAAGAGGATGGATGTTTATGACCAAGTTATACTAGGGAAGGCTGCTGAGGGAAATAGCAAAGTCATTGTGAACGCTACTGGTAACCCTGAGGAGAAACAAGGGGAAGTGAATTTGGAAGTCAACAATCAATAAGAAGAAGAGTCCTTTAAGGATTTTGAACAAAGTGATCAAAGTAACTCTATGAGGCAGAGGAAAAGGAAAAATAAAGGCAAAGAAAAAGTGGAAGAGGTTACCATTGACCATGCATTCAAGAGGTTTGCAAGATTGAGCCCACCATCATTTGAGGGTTCTATGGTAGACCGAGCTGGCGAGAAATGGATTGATGAATTAGAGTTCATTTTCTCTATGATGACTTGCATTATTGAACAACGGGTCCGATTGGCTACTTTCAAGCTTAAAGATGCGGCAAAACAATGGTGGGAAAGTGTTAAGCCTATTGATGGATCTGAATTGACTTGGGAGCAATTTAAGAAGAGGTTCTTTGCCCACTACTTCCCGCTAACTATAAGGGCAGCAAAAGAAGCTGAGTTCTATAACTTAAGACAAGGCAATATGAATGTTGAAGAGTTCATAGCCAAATTCAATGAGCTCTCTAAATATTTCTTGTACTTGAGGAGTAATGCTGATGAAGAATGGAAGTGTGAGCAATTCCTAGACAAGATGAGACCTGAGTATAGAAGGCAACTGGCAGCTCATGATATTGATTCATTTGAAGTCATGTGTAACAAGTTCAGGGCTGTTGCTAGAAGAAGCTAGATGAATGATGGTAACCTACAAGATGGCCAAGGCCGATATTCCTCTTTTATGGGCCCCACTGGGGGTGTGAGCAAGAAGTCAATTTATAGCTCGGGATTCTCTAAGGGTTACAGTAGAGGTGGAGGAAGCATTAAGAAGAATTTCTCTAAGGGATCACAATCTAGAGGATCCCAAACCAAAAGCTTCCATTTCAAGAGCTTTGGAGGCCGAAGCCAAGCTTTAAGGTAAGACTCAACTCCATCTGTCATGGGACCACCAGTAGTATGACCGTATTGTGATAAATGTAGAAGATTCCACGTCGGAGACTGTTGGGCATGCTATAAATGTAACAAGATGGGTCATATCACTCGTAATTGCCCAGAGGCTGTGATTGATGGGAGATTTGTTATTCCTGCTCGTGTCTTCGCAATGTCTAAAGAGGAAGCAGAAGCTTCTCCAAAATTGATCAAAGCTATGATTGTCCTTAATGACAAACAAGTAGAAGCATTATTTGATTCAGGTGCTACGCATTCTTTCATTGCACTAGATTGTATGACTAGACTTAAAATGTTTGCGTGTGAAATGGATGTTGTTATGAATGTTTCTACGCCAACTGGGGCCTCTGCTAAGACCAGTCGTGTGTGCTCTAATGTCAACTTGAAGTTTGGTAATAGGGTTACAATTATTGACTTAATTTGTTTGCCTTTGTTGGGCATTGATGTGATTGTCGGAATGGACTGGCTGTCGGCTAATAGAGCGATTTTAGACTGTAACAAGAAGACAGTCCTATTGCCAGTAAATACTACCATTTCTACAGTCCCTGAAATGACTGTGCGTACCATTATGGTAGACATAGAAATGCTTAAGTTCTTGTCTGCTATGGAAGTCAAGAAGTCAGATCAAGAAGGATGCCAAATGTTCATGGTGTTCTGTTTAGTACAAGGAGACTCATTGATACCAAACTTAGCCTCAATTTTGTTAAGGTGGTAGAGGTTGGAGGTTCAAGTCTGGGAAGGTTCCAAAAGACCCCCGTGAGGGTGGGGTGAGGAATAACTATCATATCACTGGTGGGAATGCTGGTGACCATCCCGTGAAGGGAGGCACGCCCAGCACCGACAAATGACCCCTGGTGGGGTGGGGTGAGTCCGTGCTGTTACATAAATGACTCAATGATACCAGACTTAGCCTTAACTTTGTTAAGGTGGTAGAGGTTGGAGGTTCGAGTCTAGGAAGGTTCCAAAAGACCATCGTGAGGGTGGGGTGAGGAATAACTATCATACCACTAGTGGGAATGCTAGCGACCGTCCCGTGAGGGGAGGCACGCCCAACACCGACAAAAGACCCCAGGTGGGGTGGGGTGAGTCCGTGCTGTTACATAAAAGGTGCCTTTTATGTAACAGTCTCACCCCACCCTCCTGGGGGTCTTTTGACTGGAACCTCACACACCTCACGATGCAGGCCCGACTTTATCACTGGTGGTACAGTGGATATTCCTAGTTATTAAAAACTTAAGAGCTAATTTAGAAACTAAATAAATAAATAAAATACGTGAAGTTCCTCGTAAAAAATGTTTATAATAATATTATAAAATTTAGATAATAACTTGCCCTATTTTATTATTTTATATAGAAAAAATTTAGATACTTAGTCTGATATATTAACATAACTTATTTCTAATTAAGTCAAAATATGAGGATCTTTTATTAATTATTTATTGTAGAAATAATTTTTTATTAATATTATGAACATCTTAAAATACACTTGTCTTTCTTTAATTGTATAAAAGTATGTCAAGTATATAATGTTAATTACATAAGTTTTACTTTTATCTTTTATCTCCAACCATATTAAAAACTTAAAGAAAATATCTGATTCTAAAATTTACTATCCCATACATGTTAAAAATTAGAAACAATGTGTTTAGGTTCCCTATAAAATTCGTAATTTTATACCCGCCAATAACATATATAATCAATTTTTCCATTATTTTGCAATATCATTCCTCAATACTTCAACTTTGACATGTGGCATGCTCTAATTTGAATTTCCAAATCTAGCTTCCCTCCAAATCGTTTCTAACTTCCATTATATTTGTTGATTCTAAGGGCAAATATTTGATTCTATAATACGTGCTGTTCTACTGTATGTGCAGTCGGATGGTTTAGTAATATATTTGAAGCATTGTGTCAAAAAAAAAAAAAAATCCTGTCAATTTCAAAAGTTTTGTTAAAATTACAATTTCATAGTGCTAAATGTTACTGCTAATTCTTTTTACCTATAAAAATTGTTATGTATTTTTTAAATTAAGTTTTATTTCACTATTTTAAATACCCCCTTCATTTAAAATTATAAAATTTTTTCAGGAATTTGATGTTAAAAAATATAAGGCATTTTTAGTTTTTTGAGATGTAATTTGTTTTTTTACCAAAAGTGTCCTTATTAATGAATGACTTTATATTTGTTGTAGGATGTTTGATAGGAGTAAATATAAAAAGATAAGGTTAATTTAAAAGTAGGTAACTATTTTATTGGGGAGTGAGATTTGATTAAAAATGTATTATAATTATGAATGGAGGGAGTATGCTTTTTGAAATAATGAATCAATCGAATTTTTTTTTTCACTTTTTGTTTTGAAAACTTGTTTTAAAAAATTTCTCTACAGAACTGTTTTAAGAACATATAGACATAAAACAAAACCAAAAAACCCCATAGTTATTATATTCCTTCCAGTTTTTATTGTAAAACACAATTTAGGAAAAAAATTGATGATACTTAACAAGACACTTGATGAAGTGTTAATTAAGCTTTTTCAATATTATTTTTATTTAAATTCATTAATCATAAGAAAAAATGTAATGCAGACTTTAAAATTTTATATTTAAATATGGGTAAAGTTGAGAGTTTATTCTATTGTCAAACAAAGTTAATGATTTAACTACCGCTCTTTAGTTTTCATGAGATGGTTAGAGGTGTTTTATAATAGGAGCTAAAAAAGCATTTTGTTTTGCCAAAAAAAATTAATATATATATATATATATATCTTTTTATTATACTAAATTATCCATTCATTAATTTTATTATATATTTGAAATATTATTTTATCTAAAAATGATTAAAAGAAGTTAAAAGTTTTTTCCTTAGAACTAATTTTTGTAACCTAAATAATTTATGAACATTTATTTTAAATTAGGAAATTCTGGTCGAAATGATACAATATAGCAGTCAATTAGCGGTTGGCGGGATGAAAATAGAATTATAAAAGTAAAGGGAGGTTTGTATTTTGCAGTTTTTGATTTTAGAGAAGTTTATGTTGATTTTAAGAAGAGAATGAAGATGTATATGAATAAGTTATTACAGAGGGGAGGTTCGAGGATTTTCCTTTTTATCAAATCATTTCAACTAACAGTAACAGTACTTATTAGAGAGTATATTTATATTTAGAAAAAAAATTAAGAAGGAATTACTTAGACACACGAATTTCTTTAAAAGTAAAATAATATTTCATAGTTAATACTTCTTGTCCAGCAATATTGCAATCAAAGCTAAGCTGTGCAAAACTTATTAAAGGTCAAAGAGATTGTTGATTTTCCATAAAGTATTTATTCTTGCTATAACTGGTGTTTTTTAAAACTAAAATTTAAAAATACAACAAAAATGGATGTTTCTGGACAAGACAACACAGCGATCGACACTAAAAATATAAGGTCAAATTAATACATTAATTTATCATTATACGATTTCCATAACTATTTAATATTTTTTAAAAAATTCTCAGTCATGATATCTTATATTTTTTACCATTTTGATTTAATTTCATTGAAATTTTATGATCCTTGGCTTTTTTAGTCATGATTATTTTTAATATTAATTTTATCTGGTATATAATAATTTTATTTAAGATATTTGAATAAGTAGAGTGCTGAACGGAAATCTAATGAAGTCCTTGCTTTTCGGTTAAAAAAAGACCCTCCTTTTCTTTTATCTTATCTTTGCTTTTTTTCCATAATAGAAAAATATTTTTTTTTAAAAAATCTCAATTATATATATATATATTTTAAAAAAGAGCCTGTATTTGAAAAGGAATTTGAGCAAAGGAAAAAGTTTATTAACTTGTATATAATATTAGGCATTAGCCATTATATAATGATCAAAGTCACTCAAGTGCTTAGAAAATAATTTCATCTCTCACTCATATTGCTATTTGTTGATGTTCAAAATTGACCTCATAGAAATCATATACATATTACACGAAAAGTAGACTTCCACTGCTTCAATTGTTTTGCTTGTGCAGCATGCAAACTGTGCACAACATATATCATATTTGGAGCTTTGAGATAACCCGGAGCTACTGGAAGTATGGCAGTGTGTTGTGCCAGTCCCAGATAGAGGCTTCTGTAACTTGACGAATCTAACAGTGGATGGTTGCCAATCTTTGACACATGCAATTCCCTCTCACTTGGTCCCCTTCTGGTTAACAGTAATGGATTGCAACGCTGTCGAGGCAATATTTGATGTGGGTCCCATGTCCACGCGTTTCTCCTTTGCACTGGAAAGATTGGCGTTGGACCAATTGCCCAATCCGGAACATGTTTGGAACGAGGATCCTAAGGAAATTCTCAGCTTCCAATGTTTGCAGAAAGTGTATATTGAGGGGTGCAGTAGCCTTAAAAGCTTGTTTCCAGCATCAATGGCCCAAGGCAAACTTGAAAGCCTCGGAGAACTAGAAGTTAAAAATTGTGAACAACTAGTAGAAATTGTTGCCGGGTACGAAACAATCTCCGGAGGAGCAACTTGAGACTTAATTATCTTTGCTCGCTTAACGATGCTGAAGCTTACTATTTACTTTAAATGATAATTTCAGGAAATCATCATTTACAAGACAAGCTTATTTTGGTTTTGCTCCTCAGTCACACGCTGCTTTAAAGTAAGTAGTAAGTGATACTGGCTACAGTAGTGTTGGTTAGAAATGAAATAACAGTTCAAAATAAAATTTCTAACTAGTATGTGTATTATTATTCTTT